ATTTAATTATGGCAAAGCACACGAGGGCTATCTGCCTAAAGGGAGGGATGCCTTTCGTGGAGGACTTTCTAAGGGAAACTGGCTCGTATACACGTTACACATGGGGAAAACCACGAAAACGCCCATGCAGCCAGCCCGTTCGCGGGATTCGAACCTCAGACCGAACTACCAGTGTTCAGCGTCTTTACCGCTCGGCCGCTGGTGGGCCTAATTGTATTTGAGAAGCAGGTACAGAAAGCCACGTAAATCCAAATTAGCTAACTCATTTCTTTGTGAATCATATAAACTCCAATAGTTATTTTATAAATTATGCCGTTAAAGGACCAATATTTGTTATGACGTTAACGTTTGATTCTCAGATTAGGAAAAAAAAAAAAAATAATTTTTCTCGATTTGTAAATTAGAGAAGATTTATAACAGGCAAATGCCAAAAAATCTAGTTAGGAAGATATTTATTAAACAAATGTTACTGTAATGAAGTGTACGGCGCTATCTATCATTTTTTCCCAATAAGAGTTAGAGCTATTATGATATAATATTTAAAGAGGATATATATGAATTATCTTTCAGTTTCACCCATTGATGAACATGAAAAACAGAAAATATACTTAACAAGAAAATACACGACAAACAAATAGCTTATGATCAGACTACTTTTATTAATTCAGAAGTCAAACAACAAACTTTTATTAATAAGCAGCTGTATGAATTTGTTTTTATACTATTTTAAAATGCAGATTAAAGCTGCAAGTAATTACTCTGATATATTATAAACATTTTATAACACGAAAAAAAAATATCTATTGAAATTAAGCAAGTAAAATTATATTTTAAATTGATTGATTAAATCTAAATTATTATCTTAATTTTCATAGCAGTAAAATTTTCTGCTTTGTAAATTAATTTCGTGTCTGTATTCAGTACACTTGAGGAATGTATAAAATAGTTTAATCCTGTTTTAATTAATGCATCATATAATTCTTTTATTTGTACAGCTGATTATTTTACATCCTCCATGAAATGCAAGATGAATTTAATTTAATATGCATTGCATTGGATTAAAAAGGAGATATTGATAGAAACAGTGAAGCAATGAAGTGCAGTGAAGCGTGAATGATAGAAACATGCCTAAAAGTCTAATTAGCTTAGCCAAGAAAAAGCTAAATAAGACATGCTTATTCTGCGCATTTTCCTAATGAATATGTAATAGTCTGTTTATGATGTCAATCATTCATGCTGTTTACTCTTTTCAAGCCAATTTATGCATGAATTTAACAAGCCTATTTTCAAAAAATGAAACATTTAAAATTCAGAAGGATTGTCTGCATAATTTATAAGCAGGTTTTTTAATTCTTTCATTGGTGCTCCATTGTTTAGTTTCTAGATTTAAACACTAGTAGGAATTTTTACTTAGTACGGGTTTCCTGAAGTCGTCTTAAAAATAAGTTACTGTCACTATAATTATTGCTACTTTTACTTCAGAATTGTTTTATATCAAAGTGTTTCACTTCTCAAAAAGGAATAAGTATCCTAAATGGGTTATGTATGTTTATATTTTATATACATAATCCATTTAGGATACTTATATTTATATTTTATAAAAATGAATATAATCCATTTAGGATTCACAAAATAAGCAAATTTTAAACGAAAAGTAAGCATGAAAACTTGACATTTATTTTTAAATTTAAAAGTACAGTAGAATAATTGATTAAGGTAAAGCAACTGAGAGATATTTGCCTATGGGGAGAGATGCTTTCGAGGAGGAATTTTTAAGGAAAAATAGCTCGTATTCACGTTACGTATGCGGAAAACCTGAAAACTCTCCTGTCCCCAACCTATTCGCAGGTATACGAACCCAGATCGAATAACTAGAGCTACTAATATCTCAAAGGTGCAATAACGTTCTATATTTTATGGACAAAATGTAACTGATCATTTCGCAACATTTTCTTTTTATCTATCTGCATCAGGTTTTCAGCAAATTGACTCGGCTTACGACGCTTAAAACTGGATATACTAATGAAAATAAAATAATGGCGCCGAAATATTAACTTTGATTTTAAAAGTTTTGCATATTAATATTTTATTCGAATATTATTTTAATAATAGTGTTCAATAATAATTTCATTTATAAAATAAGAAAGTACATACATGTGCTTTTAAAATGATATATAGTATATATGTATTGATTATAGAATAAATAAATGTGGAAATGGTGAAATTTAATCGTTGTAATTAATTGATGATATTATGCAGATCCTCTTATACTTCTTTTAATGAAATTCGAGAAATAAACATATTCAGAGTATCACTTCTCAAAATTAGGAATAAACGAAATGGTTTAAGAATAGCATGCAGAACTATATGAAATAAAAGTGCTCGTTTAATTATGAAAAATATTAATATTATGCATCCACGTTCCAAATTATACTTACTGGAATAAGCAAAGAAACCATAATTTCGTACATTAGTCAAAATTAAAAAAAATATTAGAACTTAAATTAGATGTTATAAATATACTTACCTTTCTTGTCCAAGCGTCCGATGACTGACTGCGAAGTTCGAAAGCACTCTGTAACAGTCTGGTTAGACAAAACAAAAGTTAATACATATGTTTTGTCCAACTAGCCGTTACAGGGTGCTTTTATCTGAGTTGCAATAGACACTTCCCTTGCATCAGCTTCAGCACTTTGAATTGAGGAAAATTTCTAACTAAATATTTCCTGTCTGATCATTGAGAGATGGATTACAAATCGATTTTCACATATATGGATAAGCAGTGATATAAAAACAGAAATGCTTTGATTCCTATCTTATAACAATAGAGAATCAACATAAGAATTCTATCTTAAGCAATTTTGTATGTATATTATTCAAATTATACAATGCTTTGAAATGGTGGGGAAATAATTTAAGTTCACACACAAACGAGAACTAAAATTGGTTCACGCGCTACTGTTTGGATTCACTAACAAAACGCATTATGCAATTTCATCATTTCTTAAGCAGAACACGATTATGTCAATTTAAAAATTTCACAGGAAGGTAGCACTTAGAATTACAGAAGAAAAGCGTAATTCCAATCATAAAACTTTAAAGTTGATACTGTGATATAAACTCAGTTAAAAATTAAAGATTTTGGATAAGAAAATTTTACTTCTTATTTCAGGTTTCGTTAGACGTACAGAATATTATATTCAGTTAAAAATATGTTTATTATGCGTCTTAAATAAGTTACAATGTAATTGCATTATTTAAGAAATAGAAAGTTTTAAATGTTATTGAAATAAACACTAAGGACAAATTGGGGATATTTCACATGATGATAACACTAAAATATTGATAGATTAAACGTTACCGTAAACAATAAGAAAAATGCTTTATTTAATGGAAACTGTATTTAAATAATTAGGTTTCTTTTAACCCACATCACACTAAACATTGAAAAAATTAAAATTTGTTCATAAATTCTTAAACATATATTTCCCTACGCTTATGTACACATATGAAACCAAAGCATTTACCAAATTTTTATTAGTTTGATCAATAGAGCCTGTCCTAAAAGTGGGACAATGGTATTATCCACTGCTAATCATTCTTACGTAAGTGGAATGGGGGAGAAAATATCTTAAGTATAGTCTAACGTTACATTTTTTACAGATAATTGCTGGTTTTGCTGGGCAGATCTTTAACTGGCATCTTCTTTGTCTATTTTCTGGGATTTTCACAATAACATGTTAATTTTGGAGCTTTAGAAAAATTTCATTAATTTGTTGAACACCCAGTTTTCTACAAAATTGATTTCCTAGAATAGAAAGCCCCAAATAAGCAAATAGTATGGGTTTTCGAAAATCAAACAGGCTCATACTATCATCATTAAATAAGTGTTTGAGCTTCCCTGAAGCAACCAATGCTGTCTCATGAGGAAAAGCTTTCGGAATACGTTCGAACTTGGGTTCACACTTTACCCATTTGGAATTTACATCATGTTCTTCATTGTTATTTGAAACTAAAATTTCAATAGTGCCCGCAAACTCTTCAAGACTCACATATTATTTCTTCCATACCTCTTGCAGATGAATCATTAATTCCCTCTGTGTCACTCAGTGCATCGGGATCCGGAGAAAAAATCACTATTTCATTGTTTATGGTGATTGAATCACTGTCAGCCGAAGTCCACAAAAAATCCAAGGCTTCCTACGCAGTTATAAATTCATGCGACATAGTACTAACATCAAACTAATTTTCCAAAAGAAAACGGAAAATTCAAGCATGTAAAAACGAGAGAAATTTAGTCTACTTCGCTGAATTTCAGAATACAAACTGACTTCATGAGTCAGTGTTTGAAACATTTAATCAACCTCCTCTCCCACACTTCATATACTTGTCTGTCAATTGACGTGCACCTGCCAGCTAGACTAAAGTGCCTGGCTTAGCTGCAGAATAGTAATATTTGGAATGTAACAGAGGAAGAAATGATTATCTACATTACAAACTGATGGAAATTATGTAGTAGTGGATTTTACCGTCGGCCTAATTTTAAGACAGTTAAAAGTGCAAGGAAAATTTATCTTTTAGGCAAATGTTTTGACAAAGTTTTTTACTGGGATAAAAGTATAGAATATTATCTCAACAAATTTATATGTACGTTTTTCTTGGAGCTCAAAACTTTAAAAAACTTATGCATTGAATACATCAGCAAAAATATCTGCGAAAATCTACATTAAAAAAAAATAAAAATTATCTAAATTAATTCTAACTTGCGATAAAGACAAATCTATAGTTAAAGACTCATAAAAAATAAATCAACTTTAACTTGAACTAATTTCAAAGATTTTATACAAAGATCATTTATGTGTGCTCTCCTATTTTTAGGGCGATGAGAAAATATGAGCTAATGACAAAGACAAAATTATTTTTCCACCAGCACATCGATAGTGAAGAGTTTTCAAAAGTATGACTTATAAATTAATCGCAATGTTATTAAAAATATTTACCTTCTTTTTCAAGGTTTATTGTCCCGGCTTCATAACAAGCTGCTCCTGATGCGCGAAAATAACTCCAGAAAGCTAAAAAAAGAAATACAACGAAACTATTATTCACGTTAATAGTCTTAATTAATGAGTTATTATTCAACTTATTAGTTATTTTTCAACTTACTAGTAAACTTATTAGTTATTATTATTCAAAGCTGAGTTCTATAGAATAACTACTTTTTAGGAAATCATTTGTAATGTTATAGTAATATGAAAATTAATTAAAAGAAATTATTGATAAGTAAGTTAATCTCTTCAACCAGATTTATTTTCGTAACATTAAGATAACATGAAAGTTAACATAATCTTTCAAACAAAGTCTTAATATAGACACATGTTCTAGCTTTGAAGAGTATTACAGCTATTTCTATGGAATAAAAATATCCCCCGAAAAAGATTTTGAGAGGAAGGTATTCGCTAGAGAATCCAGTATTCCTAATTAATACTCCGACTAATAATTTGCTAATATTAGAGAGATTTCAACGCCAAAAAGCTTTTTTCAAACTACAAATATAGTATGAGGTTTCGAAGCTAAGGTGAACTGTAACAGGTGAATAAGGCTTGCCAAAATTTAGAAAATGAGAAACGAGACACAGATACCGTCTCACTCAAAGAAAACCCAAGTCTGGCCATCATCTCCTCGATTTTTCCCCAAATGATACACATTTGTTTTGATTAGAAAGCTATCAAAACAAGCTTCTATTCCGAAGCCGCCGGCAGACTGGTAAGAATACGACTACCGTGCCCTAGAAACTAATTTATGTACATATCCCGACCGAAGCCTGTCAAGTTATAAACCAAGCCAGCGCTCCTCGCCCTAGGGAATTCAGAAATGAAGCTGTGGTGGCTGACTAAATAACCGGCGCGACTGCTCGCAATATCTGACCAGGGTATGAGCAAAATCGTCAATAGAAAGATTATAATTGACGAAAGAAAGATTGTGTTTCAGTGGTTTGAGTGACAATAATGGATTTGTTCCAGATATGATAGCTAGTTAAGGTTACTTAAGATACTTTAAATTTTTTCTCAAGATTTTGGTTTTACAGTGCATAATTTTCTACTATATTTCGTTTTATACTTTAGAAGAAGCGTGCTCAGTAGCAGATGCATCAATAATAAATGGTTATTTATTTGCGAAATGAATTGCAATAATTCTGTGCACGATTTAGGGAGAATTTGAATATAGAGATTTAAATGAAGAAAGAAATTATGAAAAACCAATGACGAGAAACGAAAAAAACAAAAGAATTCTTATATCTATTTTACGAGAATTTCTATTTTTGTAAACACTGCTAACAAGAAAAATCAAAATGTTACAGATTTATAGCCCATTATTAAGTTCAAATGTAAAACGACATGCATCCCTAATTAACATTAAATGTAAGAGTTTCACAAAATGGCAAAGAGATATATCACGAGGCAAAGCTTCCGAGAAAATGAGGAGGATATCATTGTGCATTTTCGTATTCTTTGTAAGATATTGTCATACCTGAAATATGGAAACCCCAAATTACTTTTCTCATTGAAATTACTTTCGGATGCAAATGTGAAATCATATCTAACTGAAGTACGAACAGATGAGGAGACATTTTCTTGATATGTGTAATTAAATAGCTATATATGTATCAAGAAATTAATGGATTCAACGCCAACACTCACCATTATTTCATAAAGCCAACTTAGACAAAATTGTAGTTACTAGTTGATAGACTGCGAACTTGACTTGAAAATATGAATGAAATTTTTAAGAATGTTAATAATAAGTTAATTCTTGCCAGAGCTCAGATTTTATGATAGTGTTTGCAGTTTATTACAGTTAAATATTTTACGCAACACATTAAGCAGAATTGAATAAAAGTTTAGAAATGTAATTATAATTACAAGCTGAGACAAAGCAAAATCACGGATTTTTAAGATTTGAAAACTTAGGAAGCTGATTCTAATATAATTCCACCAAACTAACTAGTAGCTTTAAAAGAACAGTATATGACTATAGGTAATGAATTATCATGCCAATAATTTAATAAACGAAGTTTTCATCTAAAAATAAAAAAAATAAGAAAGAATTTTTTACCTTGCCTCAGTTCAGAAATAAAATATTCTTACATAGGATAAGAAACGAGCAATACGGGTTTGATTCTATCCATATCCAGAGTAGAAAACAACTATATATGTCTTTTTTAGCCTTGTAACTTGAAGTCCTTTAGTCTTCTTTCGAATGCTCGCAATACTAGATCTACTCGTCAAAACGGAGGTTCAATTGATCTTCCACACAACCAAGGGAATACTGTCTTGTTTCTATCAGAAGCTGTATATTGCCCTAGTGTGGAATTTCCTTCCAGGACCATTTTTAGTTTGACATATCTTTGACCCTTTTTGATGAAGATCAGTGAGAAAATATTCGATCTCTTTCCGTTTTTATTTTCAAACGTTTTTGCTTTTGAATGATAAACTAGAACAAATTCCCTTAGTCTGTGTTTTCCATCTGTTTCAGAAAAAGGCAGAATAAGTTTAAATATCCAGGAAATTAACTGTAAGTTTTTGTTTTCAATGCGAAATATCTAGCTCTGGCAGCTGCTTAAAGCTCATTCCTAAATTTATAACAACACAGGCGAAGCTAATGAAGATTGTGCTATCTTTTAAAGAGGATGCATAAATGACTGATTTTCTCCTCCATTGTCTTTTAATAAGATGGCATTAATGAAATAAACAAAAACTTAAAGAAGAAACTAACGTAGTCTATATTACTGTATTTGCATCAAAAGTTTTCTATTAATAGAATTCATCCCGGATTTTGAAAGCACTATTTGATATCTATAAGGTATCTAGCATCCTGAACATATAAACATCGTTCATCCAGTGGCATAAAACTGGCATAAAGTCACTAGAATACCTAAGAAGATTGAACATAAAATAAGAACTTAGAAATTAATTTCTACTACATGGCGATTTTTGCTATCTTAATATAAAATCTAAATGAAAAGTTTTTCTAGAGGTTGCAAGATCATTTGCTTTCTGTGTATACGGCTTCATATACGTAAAGCTAGGAGAGCAGGACTAGAAAAAAAGGGAATTTTTCTAGAAATAGTGTGTCATAACTCAGAAAATATTTTAACTGGCTCTATGATTTTCCAACTCTTCCATTAGAAAAATGCTTTTGTAAAAGAAATAATCAATATGAGATTATAAACTATTAAAAACTAGAAATAATCAATATGATTAAAACTATTATAAACTATCCAGAGGTAGTGAAAGGGCAAGAGAAGCACTGATCTGTTAAATTCAGGTGAAATATTTTTAACGGAATCCCATTTTTCAGTGGGATTATTAAGCTTCTCCATAGCATAAAGTAATTTTGGATGCCGAATGTAACTAATTTACAGAGTCACGAAACCTCTAGATAATCGCCTTCTTCCGTGGTAATCAAAATTGTAATTCATGAGTTGTCTAATTATCTTACAAGGGCAAAAATTCATACTGTGAAATGAAATAGATTGCTTAAAAATTTACTTATGTGTTTGAATTATGTTTTTCTATTCATTGTATTTTATTAATGCTTAATACTGATTACGATGACGTAGAAAAGGTATATGCGGCATTAAATATTTTCTGATTGTAGGAGATTTACAATGCTTTATCAGTTAGACGTTTAAGCAAAAGCATTGAGATAATTATTGTGTGCATAATTTTGTTTTACTTTACTGAAGCTAATTATATTTTTGTGAATTCTCTCCTGACTCTGGCAGGAGTTGGCAATAAAAAAATTCCAACATTAAGATTAAAAAAAATTCAAGCATTAATTCGGTTATTTTCATAAGCTCATTAGAAGCGGCAGCCTCTGTCTACGTAAGAAATTCTGTGAAAATTAATTTGTGGCAAATATAAGAGTTTTCATATTCATTTAGAAAATCTACTCCATGAATTCAGATGACAAAAAATGCCAGTAAAGAGTATCTAAAATAAGAATTAAAGAGTTTAAATAGAAGATTTATCTCGAAGATTCATAACTAAAAAGCGTGTGCTTACGTTAAAAAGCTGTGATATTTGCAAATAGGGTCATGAATGAAATATTTGTATAGTAGTTACATTTCTCAAGAAACATTTTAGTTTTAAGCTACAAGGTATTAATAGTTCACAGAATTTCTACTAAATACAATAAGCTAGGGATAAGAGACTACTTTTATCTATTATTTTTGCCTCACTGCATGAACAAAGTAAATAAAAAAATAAAGCTCTGTCCCGCAAAAAAACTATCTCTGTTTTTTTTCTTTTGGTTTATGCATGTTGTATTTTGTATTTATTTCAAGGTCTGTATTCCTGTTTTTGAAATATAACTTGCTTTAAGACACTTTCGCTCAATTAATCATCAAACAATTTCTTCAGAATACATATATATATATATAAAAGCAAAGCCATCGTATTTTTTATGTTATATATATATATATATATAAATATATATGTATAAATATATATATATAATATAAAAAAATACGATGGCTTTGCTTTTCGCGAACACGCAATGTGTGTGGTGTCTCTCTCTTCATGAGTCATAAATTCAAAGATCGTTTCGTTTCAGGAGTCAAGGTTGGGAGAGCATTAGAATTTCAAATCAAAATTTCAAGAGTTCACGGAACATAGAAATAACATTTATTAACGATAAACTTATATTAATTCCGCTTATAGCGGCCATGAAACATAATCAAGCATCAAATAAATATGACATGCGTCATTCTTCATGTTCAAGCGTCAAGTGATATATTTTTCATCGGCGCGCATCAAGAGCGCCACCTATCTACCAAAAAGACGGAACATACTCCGCCCCGATGAACATTGGTTCATTACAACATTATTATAAAGATCTTCAATTTTAAATTTAAACAAGTTTTCCAAAAGTTCAACAGTATATCATATAAAATAAAAATGCATAATGACAAATTTAAATTGAATAACAACATTAAATTTAGTACAAAATTTTACAAATAAAACATACTTACAATCTCTAGAAGGAAAACAAAATAATGAAACTGCTAAAT